AAAAAGGGCCAACTGAATATAATAAGAAAAAAATGACCACTCAGGATTCTACTAGTCTGGTAAGTCATATTTTTTCTTTTTAGTTATATACAATATATATATCCAAAATATTTTTAAAATTTATTTATAAAACATACAATATAATTATATATAAACATTTAACATAGCTGTAATCATAGGGTAGCTTTGCTTTATGTTCTTTTTTTCTTCACTTAACACTATGACATAAACATATTCTCATGTTATTACCAATCATTATAATTACCACTTAAAATGGCTTTATCATAGTCCACCTAAATGAGAAACTGAGATTTATATAGCTATTACCTTATTGTTGGACATTTGTGTTGCTTACAACCTGTTTCTGTGAAAATTCATTTTACAATGAACATTTTTTTGCATCTGGAAAGGCAATAACTTTCAAAAGAAACATTGAATTCTTCTATCATTTTCTCTTCAAATATCTTATGGAGTCAGCCTCATCTATGTTGTCTGTGTGTGTATTTTGTATATGAAAGTCTGGTATCTGGTTTTCCTTTTAGCTGCTGTGCCATGTGCCAAACACATGGAACCCAATCTCTCTCCCTCAAGTCTCTGCTTCACCTCTGCTCAGGTCCTCCAAGACCACAACACGACTGTTGCTCCGGAGTCCTTACGACTCAAAGATTCACACAAGGAACAAAGGTTGTCCTCAGGGGTGCCCTTGACATCCTGAAATGGTGTGCAGAATTGGGTGTGTGCACTTTCCCGTGAGAGGATATAGATCTTGTATCAGATTTCAAATGGTCCATGTGACAAAAAAAGAGGAAGAATCATCGACTGGGGCTTTTTTAGCATCCTTTATGTCCTTCCCTCCCTGGGGCCTTCTCTGCTTGTTTCATAGCCTAAAACTCCCCTCTTCTCATCCTCAGGTTGCCACTCTCCTTTCCACCTCTTGCCTTCCCTTCACTGTCGGCCTTCTTGAACGAGTAGTTACACCCACTGTGTTCACCTCCTCACCGTATGTTACACCCCACCTCCTGCGTCTCCGGTCTCATTCTGCTGAAGTTGCTCTTCTGAAGATGATTTGTGCCTACTCATCACATGGCCCAGTCACCATTTTTCATTCTTCACCTTCTATCTTCTCTTTAGCATATAAGATTATTGCCCCTGATCCTGCAACACTTCCTCCTGATCATCTGAGTAACTGCCTCCTCTGGGACCTCCCCCTCTGGCATCTCTTTACTGTTTGCCCCTCTCTCCCCTGCTGACAAATGCAGACTTTCCACAACATTCTGTCACCAGGCCCCCAGTCTTTCTGTATTTTTCTCTTTAGCCATCTCCTCCAGACGCATGTATGTGCAGTTTCCACCTCTCTCCTGAAACTGAGGTCCATACTTATAAACGCTATCTCCACTGGGATACCTGAAAATACTTCCACCGCATCCATGAGGAAGTTCATCTTGTTGTCTGGCAGCTCCTCTTGATTTCCATACTTCTGTGAATGGGACTGCCATGCTTTGTCTTCAGGCATAAAAGATTTGAGTCACCCTGGACTCATCATTCTCCTGTGCCTTTTGTCTCCTCCTGTATCATAAGTCAAGGCTAGTAGACTCTCTTTCCACAGTGCCCCTTCCTGCTGCTGCCCCTCTAGTTACCTCTTACTACCCATCACCAGGACGGCTACAGTGGGTTTTAATGTCTTCTTTCAGAGTCCCTTTCATGAAGACCTCCCAGATTTACTTCCCTAAAGCATGTGCCTGATTGCTCCCGAGTCCTGCCCAAGAGTCTTCTGAACATTCCCACATCCACCTAATGACCTCAAAATTCAAGGCCCTTCAAATTCTCAATCTAAACCATTTCCCCAACAATCCCTAAATATATCCTGCATATTCACATTAACCCAAGTAAGGTTTCAGTATTTATCATTAGAATATATGGATGCATATATATTTAAGTTCACAGGGGTGCTTTTTAAAGCAAAAACATAGTATCACATTTATTTATCCAATTTCTTCTTTTCCCTAAACCTTATCTCTTCTTGAAGATTTAGGCTTTGATCCACTACCATTCAACAGAAGTATTCTGAGCAACTTATATCAGCCTACTACCTGAAGGGAAAGGTGCTCTGCTCTTGATATTCTTAAGGTGGAACCAGGAGCTCCAGGCATCAGTGGGAGGTGCAAAAGCTTTCTTCTCACCACTGTTTGTAGTGTGTATTGGGCTGAGTCTTGACAGGAAGCAAATGGTCCACTCAAAAGGGATGATTGAGAAGAATTTAATAAAAGGACAGTTCTAAAATGTTAAGGGAGGCTGAGTAGAAAGGGTCAAGAGGGGCAGTTAGTAGAACCGAGTAAGAGTAGTGTTTGCAGGGCAGGACACCTGAAGGGAACTGTGTCCTTCTGTAGAGGAATGTGGTCACTGCCAAACAGCAACCTGGTGGGTAGAGAGTGGGGAAGAAGTGCCCCAACTTCATTCTCCTCCTATTGTTTGACCTCTGGCTGCTGCCTACCATTGGTCAAATCCAACCAAAATCCATGAGCAGGAGAGCCCGGCTGATGCACCCGAAGAGGAAGGCCTCCTGGGCACAGGGGCAGGGCCGAGAAGCGTGAGGAGGGGAGGAAACATGCAGAACTGTATTCCACTGCTGGCTCCTGAAGGTCTGTCTCCAGGGAGACGGAGGCTCATCCTGGCTGAAGCTCTGGGGCCTGCTTAGGAATCTTGGGCCATCCTCTGTGCCAGTGGGAGATTTCAACTCTGGAGAGCTCAGGGGTGGGGTGACTGCAACAGAACCTCGTTCCTCCCTCCCCCTGCTCTGCCTGTCTCTACGCCAGGAAGCCCTCTTCTCATTTCTCATCCCTCTGCCACATTCCCTTCATTTTTCCAGATGGCCTCAATAAAATGATTGGGCATATAATAAATACCAAATTTATTAAGACATGTTAATTGTTATTAATAGTTTGTATTACAGCTTGCCATTTACATTAGATAGCACTGCTTGAGTAATAAGAAATTAATAATGGGAAAGCTGACTTAATTTTAGAGGAAAATGACAATGAGGTGGCTGCTATGTTTTCTTTAATAGAAAGCTCAAAATAGAACACCTAGCAACCTTCTCCTGCGTCCTCGGCCTGGAGCCCTCCAGGAGGAAGGGCTTTGTTGCAGGCACTGCTGATGGTCTGGTCTCCTCGGCATTTATCTGCACATGCTCCCCCTGTTCACATGCCTTGTTCCAGACTCACTCCAGATCTCCCGCAGGTCGATCCGTGGACCCTGGATGGCTGAGAAGCCGGGGCTGGGAAGGTGGTAGTGAGAACCACTGAGGTGGTCCCTTCCAGCTGGGAGCATCAGCAAAAGTGAGAAGGAGGGGAAAACAAAGCCAGGAGAGCAATCCTCCTGTCAGGTGGGCCACACGATCTCCCCTCCCCTCCCCTTCATGAGTCAGGGTGTAGAGCTGGAAATATTCTGGGGTCAAACTTCAGTTTTCCCTGGGGCCAATTCTTTGTAGCCCAACTCCAAGGGCAAAGCAAGCCCCTGAAGGTTGAATAAAGAGCTGTTCAAAAGCATGGGATCTATAGAATCTAAAACAGACCCAAATTGATAGAGCTTTCCCTTGAAGAATCTATAAATAGTTTTCTGCATCATTCCTTTGCCTAAGATCATGGGACACCATCTCCTCTGTGACACTGCTGACTCCTCCACCTCCATTTGCCCAGGACAGCTGGAGGCAGGGGTGTGTGCTCACAATGCACATGTTTGCTACCTTCTAAACATGCCAGTGTGTATATGGCGGGGAGGTGGGGAGGGGGGGAAGGGGTGGGTGCTGTGTGGGTGTGTCTTTAGAGAAACTTAGACTTCAAAGAAATGACCAAAATCTATAATTAACTCCTGTAAGTATTCAGGGGCAAATGAACAATGGCCTGAGCTTGGGCAGGACATAGGTAGACCCCTCTGAGGTTATAGCAGAGGATAAGCCTCTATCTAGGGAGATGCCTTATATCAACCCCTCGGGGAACCCCCTTCTAGTCCTTTGGGTACCACTATCCCTAGTCTCAGGAATATATTGCTCCTGTCTACTTTCTTGGGCTCAAGCCAATTTCCTTGCCTTCCTCACATGACTGAGCCTGTCTAGGGAGCTAAACAGGGCTGAGTTTCACGAGTACACTTTTGTAAGATGAGGAACAAATGCTGCACAAATTGGTTTCCTCTTGTTTACATCCACGTTGATTTCCCATAGGTTTTAGCAGATCTATTCCTTGTCATCTGGGTATTCTCTTTCTGCAGGTCATGTCTGCCTAAACTTAGTAGGATTTTGAATATGAAGCCACTGAAAGCAAATTGTTCCAGGGCAGATGGACTCACAATCTTGGCCCACCCAGGCACTTAAAAAAGACTCAGTCCACCCCGACCCTCCAATCTGTATTAGGAGTGTGCAAATCCCATGGGCTCACAGATTCCATGTAGGAGGTGATCCTCAATCCACTCACTCATCCTTGTTTTCAACCTTGCAAGACTGGTTCTCCAATCTTTTGGAATTCTCTTTCTCATTGACTGATGAACCATTTGGATGGCTTACTCTTGGCACTGACCACTGGACATGACATGGAGGCTCGTGGTCTGGCCACACGAACACAACCAAGACGTCTGCAGTTGTCCAGTGGGATGCGCAAGCGCGGCTCACTTCCTTCCCAACCTTTTCACACAGTGATGGGACCTGGCAACCCACCCACTGCCTCCTGCCTCATGTAGTCATGGAAAGAACGGAAAGCATTAGGCTGGTTGCCCGAACCACTTGAGGTTGAATGGCAGGAATTTCCTGACATGACGCTGAAAACCATACTCACTGAGGAAAACAGAATTATGACCTCCTTGTAAAAACATGTTACTGTATGATATTTCAGCGGTGAGATGTGAGCAAAGCTGACCCAGGGTCTTAACAGACTTTTATCTCCTCGTGCCCCATACCCAGCACCACTCCCCAACCTTACTCCTGAATAAGGACAAATATGGAAACAACTCACTGTAAACTGGATTTGGCAGCCACCCATGATGTAGTCCAAGAAAGAATGCATCTTGTGGATCTGCATGGGAGGAGGAGAGGAAACTGTATTAGGAACAGTATGATCTGTATACCTATAGATTAGAGGCCTACACTTTGGGGTTATGCTGACGTAGAGGAAAAAGCAGAGAAAGATCTGTGGGAAAAAGATGGGTCAGCTGATTTTGTTCCATGAAAGGAAAGAAAGAAAGCAATGCTGAATTTAGATGGGCCTGTGAGGGCTGCAGCCATCCATCCCTTGCTACCCTCTCTTTTGGTTTACACATGATTTTAATCAGCCTCTGCCTCTGGGGTGAGACTAATACTGTGTTTTCAAGGGTCACCACTGGTTTGAAATGAATGAAGTCTCACACTTGGCTTCAGTCTCGCTGCCCGTGTCTAAGTCCCAGTTCTGGTAACATTCCTAACACCACAGTAATCAAGATGGGCAGCTTCAAGATCACAATTACCTGAGAAGGTCTTTACTGCCAGCTGCCAGCTAGTGAGATTCCTCCCATGCCATGAGCAACAAGTATTAACATTTATTGAGAACTTACTGTACGCCAAGCACTTGACATACATTACCTCATTTAATTCTTAGAACAAGCCTGTGAAGGTGATGCTATTGTTATTATTGTGCCCATTTTATAGAAGAGGAAACTGAGGCTAAGATGATGGAGGTGGAACTCAAATGATGGCGGTCTTGACAGCACAGTTCATCCTTTCAACCTCTAGGCTGGAAGTCAGCAGGGTCCCTGCTTTTTTCCCAACCCCTGGCATCTGTGTTCTCACACACCTTACTGATTTCTAGTCTTAATTTCTGCTTCATTATGATTCTGATGCTTGAGTCTTGGTGACATTCATCTACTTATTTATTTAACAAGGATTTATTAAGCCCCCACCATGCACTGGATGCTAGGGATACAGGGATGTGAGAAATAGGCATGGTACCTGCAGCCACTGAGCTCACAATCTGGATCCTTTTACCAGGACAACTACTAGCTGATTTTTGACCCTCACTTCTCAGACTCCATCTGACGCTCAGGGCAGCTTCTCAGAGACTGACCCATAAAACCCCATGGTAGTGTTTCCAGGCACCACCTCCAGGTGGCACACATCTATTGGCAGACTTGTCTCAGGGCTGATATTTACTGGGCTCCCTGAATAGTACCTGCTCCTGGCTTCCTTATGGCGATGCTTTGCCTGATAGTTGGGATACCCTACTACTGTCTGTACACCAAATAAATGAGTTCGATCACCATGGCCTTTGAGTGCTGAACTCTTAGATCAAAACAGATGTGTGCACAATCACCTTACAGAGATGGATAGTTGAACTGGCTCATCTGGATCTTCTTTTCTCCTGCTGCTATGGGCACAAGGATGGTCACAGGTCTATTCTGAATGTACCAGGATTTGGTCTGTACAGGTAGGTAAGATGACCAGAGACAACTGCCTTTGAAAGAAGAGTTTATTACTCACAGCTCCCCAAGGGACAGGAGGAATGTCCTGCCACACAAGGGGGCCACACGGGGAAGCACTAGGGTCAGTCACGAGGCAAGTGGAATGAGGGGAAAGCACAGGCAAAAATCTTTATCATGGTTTTTGTGGGAAGGAATGCATGAAGCAAGGTAAGAAGTTAAGCAGGTTTAGGATTCAATAGTTTGAGTAACTTACGAGGCTCTGGGTGATAGGGATGGTCTCTAATTATCTGAAACCTGGCTCTGGGGTGATACAGGGCAGGCGGAATATTGTCTTGGTGTGTGAGAGTTCAGGAAAGGGGGTGGCTGGGGGTATAGGCTCTGGATGGATTGGTTTGCATGTCAAAGACAGGCTCACAGGCAAGTTGATTGCTACCTTTAGGAATTAGGTAACTCTGGGAGGGGCAGTTCCTCCCCAGTATGCAAGGCCCCAAGATATCAAAGCATCATAAAATACAGAGAAAAAGCCATTATTAAAACAGTGACCCCCAGATGGCCACTCATAAGCATTATCTCCTAGTTCCAGTGATTGGTTCAAGGGGTGGGCATGTGACCTAAGCCAGACCCATCAGTCTTTTCCTTTACTCTCTTGTTATGTAAGGATGAGTTCCTGAAGCTCCTGGCAGCCAGGAAAGGCCAACTCTGAGTGAAGGAACCTGATATATACAGAGAGAAACTGGATGGCACGTAAGTCTTATGTCATGGAGTCAGACAGACGGAGACTAAAATCTCAGCTCTTAAACTTACCATGTGTGTGACAAACTGGTTACACAATCTCATTTGAAAGTAGAAATCTCAGGGTTGTGATAAGAGTAAACAGAACGTATTATAGTTATTTTCACATAGTAAGTACTCAACAAGTAGCAAAATTATTCCCAGATGGGATTTTCTGCGAAGTTAGAGCCCCTCTGGGAGGAATTTTTAGGCCCTTTAATCTTCCCCCACTGTCTTATTTTCATGGTACCCTCTCGGCATGGTGGAGGTGTCACATATAAAGCAACGAATGCTGGGATAGGCACAGAATAGGTGCTTTAGAAATGTTGGTGACCCCCTCTGGGGACCTCCCTCTGGTGCTGCCCTGGGAAGACCAGGACTCTCCTATCTTTGGGGGCAGGACTGTCCTTGTGGAGGGTATGGTGGCATTGGCCTACCACAGCTCCAAGACCATCCATGCTTACAATGTATGTCCATTAATACCTTGACTTTCTGATTTTTGTTTTAAAAAGATCATATCTCTTTGACACTCTCTCCTTCTGTCCACACGACCTTCCTCCCAGACAGCCCTAGCTTCATACCCCTGGAAGACAGGGGCTATGTATATACCTTGCACTGATTCAAAATCACAATGCCCGAGTTCTTATAATTCTTCTTCTTGGCTTTGTACTTGGGATTGATGCACTCCCACTGCACCTGAAACAAGAAAGGTTATAGCATGATTGCCAGCTCAGGAAGAAGTGGAGTCATTCGTGACGAGGCCCGTGGGCACTGTTGCAGATGGACCTGAGGGCTGGCCCATGGTCTCTAGCTGATCCCATCACATCTGGAGGGGCAGTAAGGAGGAGTGGTGCAGAGGGAGACTCCGACACTACTCTGCCTGGTGTGAATCCCAGCTCCTCCATTTTCCAGCTGTGTGATCTTTGGCAAATTACTTGATTTCTCTATGTCTTGCATGTCTCCTCTGTAAAATGGAGCTTGTAATTGTAGGTATCTCATAGGGTTACTGTGAGGATTGAATGATTAACCCCTGTAATACATTTAGAACAGTGCCTGACACTTATAAATGCTTGCTATTAAGGGGATCAAATTAAGCAGCAGAGGGAAGGAGAGATCTGGGGACACACAGCTGAGAAACCCAAATGCTGAGTCTTAGTGTCTGGGAATTGACTTAAGAGGTAGGAAAACTGAGGGACATTGAATACTGGCTACAGGAAGCTGGTGGGGATGATGATAAGTTTGGTAGAATCAGAACTGAGGAGGTAGCTGGGAGCTAAAGGGTGAACAGATCTCAACCCTTTCAGCCTACAGAAGGCTTCAGGGGACAAAGCCAACTGCACCTTGACTACTGACAAAGTCAAACATCCAAGAGTCATGGAATGCTCCTGCCCACTATCCTATGGGAGTAGATCCTTGGATTTCTACTCAGAAGACAAATTTTCACTCTCTGACAGTTGGAAGTATCTGAAAATGAAGCAATTTCTGAGGCAGATGTGAGTGGGTAGATTGATACAGCATTGGCGCCAATGACCCATTCCTCCCAGTGCACAATGACTCTGAGCTTAGTCAGGTGACTTGTTTTGACCGATGGGACGTTAGCAAGTGATATGAGCAGAGGCTTGACAAGCCCCTGTGCACTGGGGCTTGCCCTCCTCTTGCGGCTGGGACATTTTCACCATGTATTAGCTTAAGCTGGTGTCCTGGAGGATGAAAGAGCACGTGGAGAAACATTTCAGCTACCTCAGATGTGTAGACACAAGTGCAAGAGTGAGTTCCATTTGGAACAGAGAGAAGTTTCCCAGGGGAACTCAGCCCAGATTGCTGACCTCCTGTCCTGCCTATGGTAGTAGCCTCCTAACAGATCTCCCTGCCTCACTCTCTTGTCTCTCTCTGTAACTGATTATCTACACAGTAGCCAGAGTAATCTTTAAAAAAATTAATGTAATTCTCCAGCCTAGACCCCTTTGCAGCACTGCCCAATAGAACTTTCTACAATGATGAGAATATTCCATGTCTGCACCTATCAATGTGGAAGACACTAGCCACACGAACACTTGGAGTGTGTGTGTGTGTGTGTGTGTGTGTGAGAGAGAGAGAGAGAGAGAGAGAGAGAGAGAGAGAAAGATGGAGGAATTGAAATTTTAACTTAATTTAACTTAAACTTACTAAACTTGAAATTGAAATAGGTGTATGTAGCCAGTAGCTACTAAATTGGAGACTGTGGCTTCAGTGTGCTCTCAACACATTTATAGGAAAATTGAAACTCTTTTCTCTGAGCTATCAGAATCTGCTTTTCCTGGCCTTGGCCTCTGTTCTTGACCACATCGCATGCATGGCTCCCTCACCTTCTCTGATCCAGATACACTGGTCTCTTTCCAGATCCTTAATCACACCGAGCTCTTTCCTGACTCAGTACTTTGCAATATTGTTCCCTCGGCCTGAAATACTGTTCCCTTGCTTGTTACATGGTTGGCTTCACTTCATCTTTAAGGGCCTTCAAGTTAAATGTCACCTTTTCAGCTGATCTCTTCTATGTTATACCTTTATAACTAAACTGGCTCAGTTTTTTATAGCATTTGGCACAATGTATAATTACATATTTTGTTTACTTGATTCATATTTATATTTTACTATGATGCACATTTATGTCACACCTAGAGCCTGACACTTAGCAGGTGCTCCTCAGTAAATATTAGTGGAGTCAATAAATAATAGAACAGTTCCCTGGGTGCAGACGTGTCAGAATAGGGACTGAGTGGTTGCACCAAAACCTTTCTGGTGTCTCAGTGATACAGAAAAGTACAGTAGCATATCATCCATTTCCTCAGAGAGACTTCAAGATTCACTTCTGTTTGTTTGAAAGCATCAGACTTCAGCGTGCTTCAATTGTGATGTATGCTATAATATCCTCCTAGGATTCTAAAGATGAAGTGCTTCCCATGTTTATTGGTTTGGCTATTTCTATTTGTAAAGCAGAACAAGGCAAAACTTCGTAAAACTCTTTAGAACTCTAGCGGGTGGTATTGATAACTATCATTGATTTATTAGCTCAACAGAGCCTGGTCTTGTACATTCAAAGAAGCAACAACGTCTCTGGATAAATTCCTAGTTATTTGGGTAGTGACTTTATTTATAGTTTAGTGTTGGTTTTCACTGTACCCCTGAAACTGCAAACCTGCTCGTGGGTGAAGGTCTCTGTGTGTCTGACAAGTTTCCTGCAATGCTGGGTATGTAACAGCGTGTTTAGCAGGTTGTGGGAGCTATGCAGAAAGCTGCCCTTGACTTTTCAGGCCAAAGGGAGGTATTCAACAAATGGTCTGATTCAGATTAAGCCTCTGATTCTAAAGAATGTTAGTTTATTTCCATCCAGTCTGGTTACATCTTGACTTACATCTGAAAGGAGAAACTTGAAGAGTGAGTTGGGACAATCTTCCCCAAGCAGCACTTCTGAGCAGGCCAGGCACAGGGTCTTTAGGGGAAAAAGTCTTTCTCTGCTGTCACTCCTTTTTGTTCTATGGGGACAGTGGCTCCCAGAGTAAGGATGGCAGGTAGCTTGGTTTGACTTCCTCCAGAAGCTAACGCCGAGACAAGGATTTAAGTACAAGTAATTCATCTGGGAGGTAATACCAAGAAGGAACAATAAAAGAGTGGGGAATTGAAATAGGGAAGCAGCCAAAAAGGGGTACGTGATCCATTCAGGTAACCCTATGGGCAACCAGGGCTGCTTCCTGCTGGGGAACTCTGGGCAACTTCACAGAGCATGCCTCAGAGTTTTGCCGCCTGAAGGGCAAGAGAGCTGGGGTATTTATATCCCATCTCCCATTAGCAATTTGTTGAGGGCTGCTCCCTGAAATGTGTACAATTCCCCCGACATGTCCAGCCTGCAGTAGGCATGGGCAGAGCAGGCTCCAGCAGCCACAGAAAGCCCTCAGGCAAAGAGATTCAGGTTCTGCAGCTGACACTGGGCAGGTGAATCCTGAACAGATCAGAGAAGAAGTTACATGGTCAGGGTCCAGACGACGGCAACTGACCAATAGATGTATGTATGTATCCATCAGAGTATGGGTGTTCGAGAGATACAAAGAGGAGGTGTAGGCTTCTGTGTGATGCAATGAAATCCCTATGTGCCCCTGTGGTATGTGGTAGTGTTTGGGTTTATGTCTTGGTATCAAGAGTGTAAGAGTGAAATGGTGAGACTAAATGAAAATCTGGTGCCCAAAATAAAAATTTGGAGTAATCAAATAATTTGCCCAAAGCATTAAATGTGTAATTAATGCCACCAGGTCACGGAAATATAGATCTAGAAAGAATACTGCAACATGATAATAACACCAGCACATATTTTGGAAGTTCCAGACACGCTGCCAAGTGCGTATCATGATTTATCTCATTTAATCTTCACTGAATGCTACCGGGTAAGTACCATAATCACCTTCATTTATTTTAGGTGAGAAAGCTGAGGTGCACAGAGATTAAGTCACTTGTCCAAGGCTACACAGCCAAAGGAAATTAGAAACTTTCTCATCTGCCTTCTCCATTTTGCCAGTGGAGAAACTGTACCACCTTGGAGCAGGGTCCTGTCCAAGGTCACAACCAATTGCTATGAGCTGGGTTGGCACTAGAGCCCAGATTTCAGTTCCCACCATGCTCCTTCCTGGCCATGTTTAATCATGTATTAATGTCTCACCTCTAGCTGCTCGGTGTATAGCTGGGTGCTAAGGAGGCATTGCAAGAGGCGAGTCTGGGGGAAATGCCATGAGGGGCTTACCACATACCTGTTTTCCTTCCATTACTCCTCTCATCTCCTTGAATGTTGAGGTGAATTCTCCAATGAAGTCATGTTTGCCATTGGAGTCCCAGTCCCATACTATGCACTGCAAGAGAAAATAAGTATTTTTTTTTAACTTAAGAATTCATCCACAGCAGCTAAAGGCAATGCAAACTTTATGAGGAAGACCTGATGAAGGACAGTTGGTCTGGATCAAAAGTCTAGGATGACAGCATGTGGGAAGAGGTATCCCTTTGGTTTCCATTGGTTTTACTTAGCCTTTTTGTCATGACTTTCAAGCAGCCCTGTGATGCAGCAGTGGCTAATAATTTGCCGATTTTTCAGGTAAGGCCAGTAAGACCAAAAGGAGATAAGTCACTTGTCAAAGGGTCTATCCAGTGAATGAGAAACCTGGGATTTGAAGGCAGGTATCCTGACTCTAATTCCAGTGTTGTTTTTCCCACAGAAGAGAGCTTCTGTGGTTTATAGCTGGAATCAGGTGCCTGAGTCCATGCCTGTAGCTTCCACAGTGGCAGCTTATGTTTAATGATTTGATCGTATGAATCACATTTTATTATTTTTTTTTCTGAAGGCAAAAGAGCGATGCTAAGAAAAACAAGTCAGAGGGCAAAAAGTGAGATCTTTAATTGTACCCACATGAAAAATAGGTGAAAAACAGTGAGAGGTGAGTTACACTGGTAAAAAGCAGGCGTCCATCACACCTAAGATGCGACCTTCCAACAAGAGGGCTCCATCTAACACCACTAAGGCTAACTTCTGGGCTTGCAAGTAACACTTTGCAGTGTGATGCAGATTAAATCAGTAGCCATCCCTCTGCTTGGTCACACATCTTTAGATGAAGAGGGAGTCCCCATTTTTTCTGGGGTGGAGGTTGGACTAGGGTTTCAAGCACTTCAGATATCGCTTCTACATCTTAAACCAGGGATCTGCAGCCAGGAACCCCAGAAGTCAGATAAGATCGAGGCAGCAAGGAGACATTTACTCAGAGGTTTTCCCGGAATATTGGGGGTCAAGGGGCAGCCTAGTTCTTTCTTGGGATGAAGACCCCAGTGGCCAGTCCTGCCTGGAAAACCTGGTTTGTAAATCTATTTTCTGACCTGTGGGATACCACACAGACCTAAAATGAAATATGCCCCGAATGAAACATAATCCCCCCCCAAACTTATTCCTACTCATTTATTTTCTGTCACAGTGGATTGTATCAACATCCACCCAGTGGGAAACATCACTCAGGATGTGCACTGTGAACATCACACTGTCAAAGACTTGTCTACTGATCTCAATTACTCACAACAGGGTTTTTTCTCTCTATTTGCCAGCCCCTCCTTACTGACCCTGACACTCACACAGTCATTACCTGGAGCCAGAAGCAAAAGAAAGCTTGACTGGCCTGGGCACAGAAAGAGAAGGAAGTGTGTTTCTGGGACCTTGCCTCTCAGGCTCTTAACTGTGCGCAGTAGTGAACACAGCCCTGGGACATCTGAGTCTGACACTTACTCAGTCTTCTATCTTGGGGGGAAGCAGATAAAAAGGCAAAGGGGCCAAAAGAGTCTTTTCAACACTCCCTTGTGTTTTACTGTGTTTCTTTTAATCTCTCCATTAGAATATAGGAAAAGCAAGAGGGAATGTATGTAGTACTTTGGTTTGTCACCAAATCTCAAGCAAAACCACCTATCTGCCTTCTCTTAGATTTCCCGTCATGCTTTGGTTAGTTACTGCCCTCCTTCCACCTGCCACCATAGCACTCAGGACGTTCGGTCTCTCTGGGGCAGAACTCCCCTGGGCTGGATGATGAGTCAGGCCCAACAGGGTTCCAGGCCTGGCCTCCTGGGGGGCAGGCACCGCTGTTTACATGGACCCTGCTTCTTCAATTGGTGGCATTTCTCATCATGGCAGTTGCAGAATCCTGTTTCGACCTTTCTCAGAAGGGTCCCAGAGGAAAGAAGACACAGTGAGGCAGAAAAATAAAACCATGGTCTTTCTCTCCCTGCCATGAAGCTGGCTTATGACAGCTCTGATACAGCTGACAGAGGAACATGTCATGGTGAAAAGTAAACAGATCAACTGCCCTGCAGAAAAGCTGAGACAGAGGCAGGTTCTTGGTGTGAATCAATAAGGAAACTTTGACAGATTGGTGACAGAGTGGCAGCTCAAAACTGTCTACAAGTCAGGAGGTCTTCCACATTCCCACAGCTCACAGTATAGTTTAGGTATATCATCTTAAAATGTCTGAGCTCGACAGATGGTCTTGTCAACTCCCTCATTTTACAGAGAAGGAAATTAATGGAAGAGAAAGGAAGTGACTCCTGCAAGTTCACCCAGTGCAGACAAAAGTCCAGGTTTCCTGCCTACCTAATTCCCCCCGCCAACCACAAAACAGCAAATTATAATAATTACAACATATATAGTGCTTACTATGTACCAGAAACTGTTCTGAACACTTTACATATGTAAATTCACTTAATACCCAGAATAATTTTTCATTATGCTCATTTTACAGATGAGGAAACTGAGACACAGAGAGGTGAAGTAAGTTTTCCAACACCACACAGTTAACAATAGGTAATCTTTGAACTAAAAGAAGTTAAACTTTGGAGCTTGTCCTAAATGATCATCTCTTATGAGCCCAGGCCATTTGTGTTTATGGTCTCTAATCCTGTATGATAACCCTGAAATGACAATATTATTATTGCCATTCACAGGTATCAGTCACAGGCTTAGAGAGGTCAAGTGACTTGACTAGACACCTAGAAAGTGACAAAGATGGATTTTATTTCTTTTTCTTGTTTAATTGCTCTGACTAGGACTTTCAGCACTATGTTGAAAAGAAGTGGCAAGAGAGGGCATTCTTGTCTTATTCCTAATCTTAGAGAAAAAGTTTTAACATTTTCACCATTGAGTAATATATTAGCTGTGGACTTGTCATATATGGCCTTTATTATGTTGAGGTAATTCCTAGTTTGTTGAGCATTTTTATCATGAAAAAGTGTTGAATTTTGTCAACACAGAATTGCTAAAGCAATCTTGAGAAAAAGAACAAAGCTGAAGACATCACTTCAAAATATATTACAAAGCCACAGGAATTAAAACATCATGGTACTCCCATAAAGACAGATCTATAGGCCAATGGAACAGAATACATAACCCAGAAATAACCATACATATATGGTCAATTGATATTTGACAAGGGTGCCAAGAATACACAATGGGGAAAAGGGAGTCTCTTTAACAAATGATGTTGGGAAAACTGAATATCCACACGCAAAAAAATGAAATTGGATCCCTACCTTACACCATACACAAAAGTCAACTCAAAATGGATAGAAGACTTAAACATAAGACTTGAAACTGTAAAACAGTTAGGAAAGAAACACAGGGGAAAATATTCTTGACATTCATCTTGGCGATGATTTCTTGGATATGATACTAAAAGCACAAGAAACAAACACAAAAATAGACAAGTGGGACTATATCAAACTCCTACAGGAGCTATAAAAATCTGCTGCACAGCAAAGGAAACCATCAATAAAATGAAAAGGCATCCTACAGAATGGGAGAAAATATTTGCAAACTGTATATCTGATAAGGGATTAATTTCCAAAATGTTTAGGGAACTCTTACAGCTCAATAGCAAAAAACCCCCCAATAACCTGATTAAAAAATGGTCAAAAGACTTGAACAGATGTTTCTCCAAAAAAGATATACAAATGGCTAACAGGTATATGAAAAGATGCTCAACATCATTAATTATCAGGAAATGAAAAATCAAAATGACAATGAGATATCACCTCATATCTATTAGGATGACAATTATTAAAAAAACACAAAAGATAACAATTGTTGGCAAAAATATGGAGAAATTGGAGCCCTTGTAACCATTGGTGGGAATATAAAACAGTGCAGCAGCTATGGAAAACAGTATAGTGGTTTCTCAAAAAATTAAAAATAGAACTACTATATGATCCAGCAATCTCATTTTTGGGTATACATCTGAAGAACTGAAGTCAGGATATTGAAGAGATATCTTCATTCCCATGTTAACTTCAGCAGCATTATTCACAATAGCCAAGATATGAAAATAACCCAAGTGTATGACTAAAGAAAATGTGGTATATACATACAATAGAATATTATTCAGCCTTAAAGAAGAAAATCTTGCCATTTGTGAGTTGGATGGACATTATGCTAACTGAAATAAGCCAGTCACTGATGGACAACTAGTGCTTGATTCCACTTTTATGAGGCATCTATAACAGTCAAACTCTTAGAGGCAGAGAATACAATAGAGGTTCCTGAGGGGTGGAGGCATTGGGGTCTTGTTGTTCAATGGATGTAAGGTTTCGGTCATGCAAGATGAGTAAGTTCTAGAGACCTGCTGTACAACATCGTGCCTATAGTTTGTAATATGGTGTTGTGCACTTCAAAACTTGTTAATAGTGTAGATCTCATGTTATGTGTTTTTATCGCAAAACAAGTCAAAAGGACATAAGGAAATGTTGGAACGTGTGGGATCTGTTACCTTGATTCTGGTGATGGTTTCACAGGTTCAAACTCATATGCATATGAGTTTGCATATGTTTGCATATGTCCAAACTCATCAAATTATATGCATTAAATATGTACAGTTCTTTACGTATCAATTAAATAAAGCTGTTAAGAAATCTAAAAGTAAAGGAGATTTCCTTAATAATCTGGGTAGGTCTGACACAATCCATTGAAAGCCTTAAAAGCAGAATGAGGCTTCCCTGAAGAAGGAGAAATTTTGCCTTTGGGCCATAACTTAACTTCAGTTAGCCTGAGAGTTCCAGCCTGCCTTTCCTGAGGGTATGCTGTAGGGATTTCAGACTTGTCCAGCCAGCCCGCACAACAGCATAAGCTAATTCCTTGCAATAAATCTCTTAATGTCTATCTTCCACTGGTTCTGTTTCTCTGGTTAACCCTGGCTGACGCACCTTCCCTAATCTTCTCCCTTGGCATTCATAACTTCATATTAAGAAGTGAGTTTTCAGTGACCATCGGTCTTCTCATATTGATATGCCAAAGTTTATTGAACACTTACTTTGTCCCGGGCATTGTTCTAAGCCC